TATTTTTAATATTTGAAGGTTTTTCATTACAAAATATTAATATTTCTCTTTATGAAATGTGATAAAGTGTTCATTAAATTGAAGTCAGATTATATTTCCAAAATAATAAAAAAAGAATTATTTTTCTTAATTTTCTTAGTTAATGTTGATTGTTATTGAATTTAGAAATTTTAGCATCCATTCAGATGGTTACAAGACTGATTAGGCTTAGATATCAATGAATAAACAATTTTCTTTATTTTCAGTCAAAATTAGAATAAACTATTCAAATTATAAAATATTTTGAATCTATTCTTTTATATTTTTATTAAACTGATTTATTTTATTTTAATATTGGACAAGCTTAATCATCTTATTGTCTTTTCTTATTAACAGAATATTTGTTTTATAGAAATATACCTGTTGTTTAAAAGTATGATATTTAATTATTTGACCACTAATACAATGCTTAAATATCAAATAGTTTTCCCCTTTAATTAATATAACGTTAAATTCTTAAGAATAATAGATAAAATTCAAATTCAATGTTTAGAAATTTTTTTCATCTAAACTCCTACATTTTTCATGAATTAGAGATTCATCAGTAATATTAGCAATTTGGTTTTTTGGATCATCTTTAATTTTTATTTGATATTGAATTGGGATTGATGTAGCCTATTTTTATAACCACAAATTTTCAACAGTTTAGCATTAATTATCGAATGATAAAGTTCAAAATCTATTAATTTGTTATTAGATATTTTCGATTTAATAGCATTTATGGATGCCATAATTCTATCGATAATCAGTTAATTCGTATAAGTATTTTTTAGTAGGCTTTATAAAATTGCGAATTAAATAAAATTAAAACAATAAAATCTAATTAGTGCTGCTATCTATTTGATAAAATATGTTAAGGGGAAGGAAATGTAATTTATGAAAATTTAAGGAATAATGTTAATAAAAAAGGTCATTAAACATGACTTCAAGTCCCTGCTATGTTTACACAAACATTATATTATTGAAATAATAACTTTCAAAATAATTATAGGTCATACTGAACAAATAATTTATATTATCATATTCTTGTATTTGATGTGAGGATTCCAATATCAATTTACTATCTGATATTGAATGTATTTAATACGTGTGGAGACATCGAGAATTAAATAAAATCTTTTCTAAATTTTCTTTTTCCAAGTAATAATTATATTTAATTAAATTATTTTCTAAAATATTTAGATGATGGTATCCTTTATCAGTTATTAAATATATGTTAATTAATAGTGAATTTTATTTATTGTTAATGGAGCAAATTTGAACTTTTTGAAGATAAGTAATATTTACGTTAAAATTATTTAGTACAATTTAGTTATTTAAAAATAAAACTATTTATTCTTTTTAGAAATTGAGGATTTCCCATGAGTAACATTAAAAATGTACTAAGAAATAACTACTCTCAGATATTTTTATGTATTCTCTTTTGCAATTTTCTATTTACTTTTCTTCTAATTAATATATATTTATTATTGATGTTTTCTGTAATAAACTTACTTATTTCACTCTTAATTAATTTCTGATTTAGCAAAAAATGAAAAATTATTAGTGGCTGGAAAAAAATTCTTCACAATCTTCTTCGAAGTCAGTTTCAACTCTAAATTCGATATATTAGTATTATTTCTATTAAAGTGAATCTAATTCTTTTGAAAGGAAATCTGAATTAATTTCCACACAGAAGATACTATAAATAAATAATCTCTAGAGATAACAAAAATATTTTCCCAATAATGGTTGGTTCAACATTTCACAGATTTAAGATGAAATTATTAGTCCTTTTTCTTATTGAGGTATCTTTAATATCGGTTTTACTATTTGCTAATGGATATGTTTTAGTTGCATTTCGTCATTAAAATCACTTTTCCATAAAAAATGATGATGAATATTCTGACAAAAACAATTCATCTGATTTCATTTCCAGTCTTTAACATTTTAAAGACCTAATTAATATTATACTTCTGTAGCAAAGGATAATAAGAAATAGAAAGTGATTATTCATAAAAAAATTTGTATATAATATTATTTTATGAAATAAATTTATAAGATAATTTTATAAAGGTAATATTCCTTCATTTTCAAATTTTTAATGCTTGATACTAAAATGATAAAAGAGAAATATCTATCTAGCTAACTTAAAGGAGCACTATTCAATAATTAAAATATATAGCCATACAAGTATAACATCAATAACAAGAATAGAAATTATCGAAGTTATTACAGATATATCAACTTTTTTGGTCAAAACTGAATATATTAACACCATATTAATCTATCAAATTTATTATATTTATTGATATCAATTCTTACTTCCATCTTCTATATCAGGAACAAAGTTCCCTTAATTACTTTTCTTTATCCACTAATTCCAATCTCCTACCTTAACACCTTCAACATATTTTCCTTTATAAATTATTTGTTTCCATCTTCAAGATAGAATAACTGATGTACTTATCAAATCATCTACTAATTCCACCCATTCACCACTCTTCCTTCCATTTTCATCATAATCTCCATTTCCACTAAATCATAACAATAAATTATTTATATTGTCATTTCAATTTTTATTACCTTTGATTCTCTAAAGTCAATTTTCCATGAACCTTGTTTTTTACCATTTTTATACTCTCCCTTATATTTTACTTGAGCATCACTAATTAATAAAAGATTAAATACTTATTGAAGTTTTCATACAAATCAGTCCATTTGCCATTTTTCAACTAATTTTCATCGTAACATCCTCCTCCTCTAAAATATTAGACAGTTCTTCTAATTACATATTCCTTATTTCCTCTCTATTGTCCATCATCTATAAAGTTTCCCATTGGTCATATTTTATTCCATTTTTGTATATTCCCTTATATAACACTTCTCGTTGTCTTTTTTATTTTAATATCAATTACTGTGAGAAATTTGCATGTAATTCTACCCAAAGGTTATCTTTCCTTCCTTCTGAGTCATAGAATCCTCCACCTCTAGGTTTATTTTAAAAAAATAAAATACATTTCTATAAAATTTGACTCTTTTTGAGGTCGATACTAAATCACCCATTTTTACTGCTTCTTCCCTTTACTATAAACACCTTAATAAATAATCTATCCATAACTAAAGATGCTTATCATTTTACATATAAAAATTCTCATGCAATTCTCTCCAAATTCCAGTTTAACTCATTTTCATCATATTTGCCTCCACCACTTTAAATAATATTGAGATTTTTTACATTAATTCTAATTTACTTACTTCTTCACTTTTAAATAGAATTTTCCAATCTTCAACTTTTTTTCCATTTTTATAGAGACTTTAAATATTATGAATGAAAAAACTTAGAAAATTGATCGTGCACTTCTGTCCATTATCCATTCTTAAATCCATTTTCATATTAACCACCACCACTTTAAATTAATATTAATTTTTAACATAATATTGCCTTCAAATTTAATATTCCATTACCCAGATTTCCATGAAATTGGTAATTATCCAAATTATTAGCCTAAATATAATCCTGACTCAATTAGATAGTTAGATCTAAAATTTGGTTATTTATTACTCAAAAAATTATTATGCAATTCTTCCCATTAACCACGCTTTATTCCTTAATCATCGTACACTCCACTGCCTAATAAATTATGAATTAATCTTACATAATTCTTTTTCCTCTAACAAAGTATTCCATTTTGCCAATTTTTTTCCCCTGTTTGTATTCTCCATTTAAAATAACTTAATTCCCTCTATTTTAAGTATATAAAGAAATATTCATGATAATTATCATGTAACTCAAATCCTCTTCCAATCTTTATTCCATTTTCAGAGTAAGTACTCTCATGACTAAATAATTGTTAAACTATAATACATTGGTTTATTGTTGCGAATGATTTACCAAACAGCATTCTTCTAATTATTTTAATAGTTTCCCTATTAAAACACTTCAGCTTTTCTAAGATTATCTATCAAAATACTCCCAATAATTTTAAACTAATTCTTTCCAATTTTCCTACTTTAATCCATTTGAATAACTCCCTCCAGCATCGAGTTTAACGCCTTTCCAAGTTGGGTACCACATTCCTTACTTTTTGTAATTTAAGTTAAAAGAACCATGCCAATTTAGGTGCTTAATCTATTATAAATTTTTCATTATCTAAGGTTTATTGTTGTAATCTTCTATTGCATCACTTCAAAAATAAATATTTGGAATACAATCTAAGAATTTCTCCATCTTGAACATAATTCATTTCCATATTTTTTGTATACATAGCTGAAAACTGAGTTTCTTGCAATTTAGCACAATATCTTTTTAATCCTTTAAGTTATGTTTTCTTCTAAGTTGTCTTTAATCCTCATTAATTATTCATAAAAACCATTTTTGTATAAAATCCAATTTTCTAGTTTTTTTCTTATTATCTCGATTAAAGAGTTTATATTCTAATCTAAGTAATTTACTATAGGAGAATTAGAGGTTATAAGATCAAAATAGTATTGTTCTTCTTTGTCTATCATTTCAATTTATTAGGATATCTCTTTCTCTATTCTTGCCAATTTATTCTTGGTTTCTTTTATAAATTCTTTGATTTCATTCTTTTGTCGTTCCTTTTGTTGAGATCTAGCTTGCTATTTGAAAACTTCAAATTGATTTTGTATTATTTTATTAAAGTCCTCTATTTTTAATTTATTCAAATCTCCTACTCCATGGCTGTTAAAGCATTTTTGACATAGAAATCTTTTACATTAATGGTTAGCAATACAAACATTTTTAATTGTTTCTTAAGGATGATTGGTACAAATTCTCATTATAAAAATTATTTCTTTTTCTATTAAGAAAGATAGTTAATAAAAAAATAAAGTCGAAATCGAAAACATTTTTATGCTTATACTTATAATATCTAGTCATTATCATACTTAACCAAATAGGCACTAGATATTTAGATGAAATAATCTATCTCATTTTTAGATCAACAGAATATTTAGAATACAATCAAATAAACTTTAATTTTTTTGGCTAATAGTTGAAACTAAATGGAAGTAATAATGAATATAGTATTATAGAGGTTAAAATCTCCTCTAATCCTTATTAAACTTTATTTAAAAAATTAACTGACAAACTAAATGTCATTTAATAATATAAAATGAGAAAATTTCTTTTTTTTACCATTCTCTACATATTTGCATCAGGTGTAAATGGGAGTTATTGTTTAGATAAGATCACATCAAATTCAATATTAAGAAGGAATTACTTGAATGTAATGCAATTATATAATGGGGCAATGTTAACATCTGCTAGAACTAATATGTTTATAGTGCCAGCTATAGATAATAGTCCTATAAGAGATTTAATTTATTTTCCATATAACGGGTAAGTAGGGCATGTCGCCGTTCCTTTACATGGTACAATAATGATTGAATTTCTATAATCATATTTAATAAATAAGATTAGATTTTGGATGTACGATTACGATAGTAGGATAACCCATATGCAAGTATTTGCAATTGGAGATGATAGAATGACAGAAACATTAATATATGAAGGTTCAGCCCCTCCAGGTGTAATGTCTGTCAAATTTGATTAATAATTAGTCTCAAAATTAAAATTCTACAACAAAAATGGAAACACCTTATATGAGCATATGTCAATATTAAAGATTTAAGCTTATTATGCTTTCTATTAATGAAAATAGAATTTAATTATTCATCAAGTTATTAATATATGCTAAATTTTTTCAATAATTAAGAAAAGGTTTTCTCTGATTAAAAACTCTCTTTTCTTTGTTTATCGAAATCATAATCTCAGATTATTGAGTTCTATTGAATGGTTGAATGGTCAAATTCATGACAGCAAGTATCATGAATATTATTTATAATTAATAATTAAAGACAAAATGACATAATTAGTGGAAATAATACCTTATCATATTGAGATTCGTGATTAATTCAATAAAACTTCATTTTTATCTAATATTGTCGTATAAAAACTAATTGGTTGTTAAACTAATTTCAGTATATAACTAAGAAATACAAAAATACAAAGGATATACAATGATAGTTAATATGATTACACATAATCAAATTATTTTTGAGTCTCTTAATCGAAAATAATTAGAACTCTGTCAAATTAAGGCATTGATTTCTGCAATGAATTAATGTCCAACCTGGTTTGCCAATTGCAGAAATATAATAAACCTATAACGAACAGTATCATGAAGTTCCAATTGTATTAGAATATATGTCTGCCATCTAAAAGGATTCAGATGATATAGCTGAATTGGGTGATTTCAAGTCTTAGTCATTGTAAAAGAGTTTGTGGAGCAAAAACAAAATAATGAAAAAACCTTAAATATGGAAAATGATAATAAGTCATTAGGATGAATAAATAAGTGCTTTAAAAAAGTAGGAAGATATGATGTTTAGCTCGTATAAGATCATTAAAAATTAGTTTTAAATCTATTTAACTTAAAAACGTATTTGAATTAATTTTGGAAACTAGTATCAAGAATGGTAGATTCCAGTTATCTTACAGTCTATTAACTAAAAAATCAACCTATAAATTATCGTTAATATCAATAAATACAATAAAGTGTAGATCGAAAGGTCACTTATGAAACTATCGATATAATATTATAGTATATGTTAATTGCAGAAATAAATAACATTGTTATGGTCATCATTAATTTTTCAAAGTTAATTTTACAAAAACGTAAATAATCATTACTTGATTATAATGTCCAGAAAACCTTACAACAAATAAAAATTGAGATTTTTCTTTAATCTGATGTTATTAATTAACCTCATTTTTTCTTACATGGATATTTTATTTCTTAATTATATATACAAATAATTATGCTTTACAATGTATTAAATATTGTATAACTTAACCATTAATCACAAATTCAAAGAAGTATTAGAAAATAAAAATATTTCCTAACAGCGTGATCTGTAAAATATCCCTAATTTGATGATACCTTTTTGACGATGCATTTTCATCTTATGTAAGTTGGTAGAATTTATCATCAAATACAAAAGCAAACAGAGAAAATTATATCTTTTTTATAGATAGAAGTGGATTTAAGGGTGAAAAGAATAAATAAAGCAATTGAATCATTGATTTTATTCATAAAAAGCTAATCAGAAGATAGCTTTTTAATGTTCTATCATTTGGATCCTCATCTAAAAGAATTTTTTAATAACCCCGATATTATAATTAGTAATCTTTAAATGAAGCTATCTTATAAGTAAGGTTAGTGTCTAATCTGAAACAATTTTCACATGTGAAAATACGATAATTTTTTCAATTTAATTAGGAGTATGGTATTTTAATGAGGATTATAAAACTCATTAGAAACTTTTATTACCTTTTTTTTGACAGATGCAGAAGATTCCCAGAGAGAATTTTAAATTTCGTTTAAACTTAAGCGACCCTAATTTTAGAATTTACACGCGAGGAATAGGCGATGGACAAAGTAAGCATTTATTACCAAAAAAATTAGAAATTCGATATGGTAAATAATATATTGATAATGACAATATTAATGTTAAAGTAATTAATTTGTTAGAAGATTCAATGACATAATAATTAGAGGGATAAATAATATGTACCATAAATTAATATTTCACCAATAATACCTGATCCAGAAAGAATAAGGTCTCTTAAAAATTCAGAATTAGTTTGAAAAATTATTCTATCTCCCATCCAAAGAAATGCCTTAATTTAAGATCAAATGTTTCGACCTACAAAATGAAAACAAATGAGTCAAAATACTAAGGTTATTTTTCATATCCTGGCAGCCCAAATAATGATAGGATTTATGAGAATTTTTAATAGAACAAAGTTTAATTTGTTAATTAGTTAAAGTCAACTCAGAGTTATTGAAAAATGAAGATATCATCAATCTATCCATATTAAATTAAATCTTTTGCTCAAAAACACCTTATATTTGTGAATTCTGCCATTTGAAGGAAGAGCAAAATTAATTAATTAAAGAAAAATACCCTATCATAATCAAAAGGGCGATCTAATTTTTATGTGTAAATAAAGAAATGGTGTTGTTGAAGATAGAAATGTTAATGAAATTAGAATAGTATAAAAATAATATTAGAGTTAAACCTTACTACAAAAAATTCTTGAATGATTATTTAATAATACAATTTTGTAAAGAGATTATACATATCAAGCGGAGTTGATTATTGTTTTTATGTATTGAATTAAGTAAATGAATATTAATATAATTTATCAGAAAAGGAGATAACATATGCTTATTTAACTCCTCTAATATAAATTAATATAGATTATTGTAAATATGAAAAATTTCACCATTTTAAATTTCTAAATAAAGTAGAGCTATTTTTTATAAATTATTTGGACAAAATATTTGTTCGAAATTCCCCAACTTACACAACATTTTTGAAATTCTGAATTAACTAATTTCAGAGTAAAGAAAAAATTTTGGTGAAAATAAAAATTTAGAATTTCACCAATATATTTGAAAATAAGTAATAGGTAAAAATTATATTTCCTATATTCATCAGTATTGTGAAAATCATTTTTCCTTTTTCACTAATATAAATAAAAAATCATCATAAAGGAAATCTTATATTTGAATGTGAAAAAAAAATAA